CCTCTTCTGTCTTTGTAATGACCATTTGCACTCTTCCTGGATGATACAGCAGGGGTAGGAAAGAGAATCTGTCAGAGACCTTCTCTAGAACTTAATCCCTCTCTAAGTCAGGTCACAAGGTCCCTGTAAGGTTAGGATCATGAGAAGGTGGGCCACTGGATGAGTCAGCCCCGGTGCCCTGACTGACTGTGCACACACCTGGGAGAGGTTGGAGACCCAGTTGGATTGTGTTTTTAAGGACCTGTGATCCCAAGGCCAAGCAAGCCACAGAGAGCAACAGCATGCTGCCTGGCCTCACAGAGGGCCTGTACAGATGAAAGGGGACACCAAGGAAAGCTTCAGTGAGGGAATGACTGAAGCCAGGAGCTCTAGTGGCACTGTGGTTAAGGTATTCGGCTGATAGCCATGAGGTCAGTGGCTCAAACCTACCAGCAGCTCCATGAGAGTAAAATGAGATAATCTGCTACCATAAAGATGTACAGTCTTTGAAACAACATAAGGGCAGTTCTGCCCTGTCATAGAGTTGCTATGTGTCAGAATTGCCTTGATGATAGTGATTTTTCATTTTACTTTGTTTTGCTCTGGGTGACTGGAAATAGAGCAGAGGAAGGGGATGTTTAGCACAGGAGCCAGGGAGGCAGGGGAGTATGCCATGGGTGACTAGAGTGAACTTGCTGGCTAGATTAGCTAATGTAAGGCAGGGAGAATCAGGGGACAGGCTCCTAGGGGACTAGGAGGCGTGGCCTGAGATACTGGATTTGGATAGTGGACCCTGAATACCGTTTTTGCTGCAACTTTGCACCAGGAAACAGTGATGGGTATCCTGGCACCTTCTTCAGAAAGATCAGAATGTTCAAGAGGGTCAGAGCTGGCCCAGCCTGAGGTTATGTGTTCCCCAGGTTTCCAGCCCAGCTGGCCAACACAATTACCAAGGAGCTTTTTGAAAATATCAGTGACTGTATTTTAAAAACATTTCATCATCATTCCTTCCTCTGTTTTCTAAACTTAGCAAACATAATGTTATCAGGAATGCCTATCCCGGCTCCAGGTCCTGCCCCACAGTAACACTGAGTTAGGAACATGTAACGGACCCAGTATGTGTGTTTCATAAAGCTGTTCTGGGATGCGGGCCAGGCCTGCTATGGGAATGACATGTCTAGCTTATTACTGATGTTTTCCTGATGAGAAACAACACTTAGGGTCGATGGTTGCTGTCACTCAGTGGGCAGAGGTGAGCCAGACTTGAGTGATCTTAAGATGACTCTATGGCTTTGTACACCTGTGAGCAGTGAATTCAGGGGACTGATGCTGTGACTAGAGGGGCCCCAACTCAGCACCTTCAGCTGTACTGTAACCTTATCTCCCAAATCCCCAAATTTTCCAGCATCCTGCAAAGACCTTGCTACCAGACAGTTCTCTCTGTTCACAAGTGTCCCCTCCAGTAGCTACTCCAGTACATCAAGCAGGACTCCCAGTTGCAGATTGGGATACAATTTCTGAGACCTGGAATCACAGCCAGTCTAGGTGCTGCATCCAAGATATATTTTGAAAGAGCAAATATACAGGGACTGCATAGTATCTCCATTCCAAGGAAGCTGGTCACAGGCCAGTCCCTCCTTGAGGGCCCCTTTGTGGGTCTCCCCTGGATCAGCTTCACGAAGTATCTCCTCCTTCTCTCTCAGGATTTTTCCTCTGACTAATGCTGCCCACTGTGGCACCTCCAAAACTCATCTCTCTTTCCTAAGCCTACACATAGCTGATGCTTTTCACAGTTAAGCTCTTTTGTTATGCATACATAAAGCTTAATTGATATTTTGCAGTATGTACTATTTTATTCTCCAGGAATTGAAGAATATCATTTTGCACTGGCTCCCAAACCAGTTACTGTGATTCCTTTGTAACTCAGTTTAGCCCTATGTGTGTCAGAGTAGAACTGAGCTTCATAGGCTCTTCAATGGTGGTTTATTCAGTAGATCACCTGACATTTCTTCCAAGGCATCTTGGGGTAGACTTGAACTTCCAGCCTTTCAGTGGGCATTAAACCATGCTAATCATCACTGTATGGATCACAACAAGCTGTGGCTGACTCTGAGAAGAATGGGAATCCCAGAACATTTGATTGTGCTAATCAAAACCTATACTTGGACCAAGAGGCAGTCGTCAGAGCAGGGAGACACTCAATGGTTCAAAATCAAGAAGGGGGTCCGTCAGGGATGTATTTTGTCTCCATACCTTTTCAATCTGTATGCAGAACAGATCATCCGAGACACCGGGCTTATGAGGAGGAACGTGGCATCAGGATTGGTGGAAGAATCGTCAACAACCTGCATTATGCAGATGACACAACCCTGCTCGCTGAAACTGAGGAAGACCTGAAGCATTTGCTGCAGAAGATCAAGGACAGCAGTCTTCAATATGGATTGAAGCTCAATATCAAGGAAACAAATATTCTCACCACTGGGCCAATTGGCAGCATCAGTATGGATGGTGAAGAGATTGAGATAGTTAACAGTT